CTCTTCAGCCCTTTCTATTAGGTTGCATGTAAGGATCTGGAAAGCCACCTGATTCTAAATGTAGGTGTGCTTTCCTCTGCAGCCAGACAGAATTTAACAACAGCTAAAAGCTTTAAAATCTTTTTTTTTCCTATCTCTCTGTGTGCCCGACAGCAAATTGCCGAGGGGTATAACATGGAGGCGTTATCGGTTTCATGGTAGGTGGTCACTGACCTCTTGAAACAGCTCCTGCCTCCCTGAAATCCCCTGCGTGTCACAGGAGGGAGAGAGCAGGGCTTTTATCGGTTCCAGGGCTGCTAAGAGACAGTTTCCAAAAAAAAAATCCAACAGGATAGAAGGTACAAGGAGAAATGCACTGAACTCACGAGCAAAACCCCTGCCGCCCCCGTGGCAGCCGAGCTTGCCGAAGCCGCTACTGCCGGCCGCGCGAAGGTCCGCGCAATTCCCGAAAAGCAACCGCTTGCCTTAGAAATCCACAGGTCGAACGACAGCTCGATAAGCACCAAAGGCGACTACAGTTTCTCTGAAGGAGGATAAGGCCGGAGCGGACACCAGCTGCAAGCCTACGACAAGATCAGGTTCTCCGAAAGTCTCGTTTTACGCCGCGGCTGCGTCCGGCCGCTCACCTGACCCTTTCCCGAGGAATATTGCTTTGACTTCAGGAAGATAGACGTGGATGCTCACACCACGCGTCATCGCAGGGAGGAAACCCGGACCCTGAACAAGATGGACTAGGACAAGCATTCACCTCACGCTTCAGTCAGACTGTTTCAAGATTGTAGACAAAATAAAAAAAAAAAGCAGTATTGTATCTATGTATACATGTATATATTTATATAATATATATACACACACACTCATATATAGCCAGCTTTCCTACAAGTCAGCAGGTACAAATTACTGTCGAGAGCACTTGGATGTGTATTTTATTAATATTCTACCAATGTAAAAACATAATGGCGACGTGGCAACACGCATCAATAAATAGAGATCAAAAAAAGCAAGAAGTTAAAAAAGATGAAATTAAATACAGATTCTAGCTGTGAATTTAAAATCAGAACTATCGGAGAATGTGGCATCCTGCAAGTTAAAACTGCAGTTAAAAAAAATATTACAAAATAAACCAGTAGACTGTTACAGTTCACATTATAAACCCTGGTGTCCTTTTCCTGTACGCACCTTGGGAAAGGGAAGCCTGTTCAAATTGAGAGCCTGGGGGGTGGGGAGAGAAAAAAAAAAAGACAACCAAAAAACAGTAAGCTTTCACAGTGGCCACTTTCTAAAAAGTCTCTTACCATCCCAGGTTGGGCCCCCACCCCCTCTGAGGATTTTGTTCGTCTGCTCTTCTCTGCTGAAGATGGGAGCTGACCAGCATGGAGGGGGATGCAGAAGCTCTGGCTGGGCAAAGGAGCTGCTTCAGTCAAGCTAACCGCTTGTGTTCGTGCATGTGTGTGTATTATATTATATATAACCCGCTTGGGTAAGACTTTTCCCATAGTGAAGCTGCAGGTTTCTTCCTCGCTAGCACTGATTTTTAAAATTAAGGGCTTCCACTAGCGGTTCAAGCTTTAGACACATGGCAAACCCTCCCCCCCACCCCATGGCAACCTATTTTCCTACCACGTTGCCTGCTCCCCATACCAAGCTGGGGCACCTCTTCAGACAACCTGGGATATGGATTCACTGATAAGAAACGCTGAGCTCTGTTGAATGACCCCTGCTAAGCTCCCGACCAAATTCAAGCTGTGCACTACATCAAAGTCCAAAACTTCACTTAAAAAGAAAATAAAAAAAAGAGGTTAAAAAAAAAAAACTTCAGCAGAGAATGAGGTTTGGGTTTTTTTGTTTTGTTTTTCCTTCTTTCTCTTGTTGGAGGGGGCATGAGGCAAGAGTCCTGGTTCTGAAGTACACAACAGCAAACTTCCAACATGAAGAGATTGTCGAGGGGAGAGACATTGGTGTGTTGTATTGCTCCGCTTTCCCTCCTCCCCCCCACCTAGTCCCCTGCCCCGGACACCCTGCAGAGTTAGAATACAATGAAACTGGTTTGTATTTATAGATATTTTACAAGGTTAAATAAGAACAACAATAATAATAATAAAAAATTGAACACTAAAATGAACAGGTTGGTTGGTTTGTTGTTTTTTTTTTTTTTTTTCCTCTTTTTAATTTTCTTTCCAAATGTGACCAGTGTTGCTGAGCAAGACTCAAATTACTGGTGATTTTTCCTGTGCAGCTGGCTGCTTGGTACCGGTTCAGGTGGAGTTGGAGGCTGATGCTGTAGCTACACTATTGGTCTGAACTCGTTCTCCTGCGTTAACATCTGCAAACAACAGGTGAGAGGAAGGGAAGACAGAAAAAACAACCAGTATTACCTCCAAAATACAGACAGATTCGGAACAATAGCTACGACATCCTCCGCACGGGGAACCCACGACTCCCACCAAGGTGCTGTTTGGTTAGGATGCTCTCCTGACTTCAGGAGGTGCAGATGGAACGGTTGGTTCTGGGGAAAGGGTGGGAAGATGGTCTTTAAGCAGGACAAAGGCAACCCCAAGGGCTGAGGGTTGCAGGCCAGCATGCGAACACCCAGCAGGGCTCTAGCAGATTTTGCAGGATGTAACATTGTCGCCGCAGTGGTAAGTCGCCCATGTTACATTCCAGTAACTCTAATTGCAAGACAAGGCACGCTAGCATCGCCAAAGCTAACACATCAAGTATCCGTGGCGACTACAGGGTTTCACGTTGGTGCTGAAGTTTCATATTGTTTGGTTTTCTTGTAACAAAGGCATCTGTTAATTGTGTGAATGAGCGCAGACAACAAACGCAAGGAGCCTGTTTCCCCTGGCAGAAACAGCTTGTGTGTTAATGTGTAATTCATGCACTCGTTGCCTCAGAAAACGTCTTTCAAGTCTACTGCTTTATTCTGCGTTGCTCAACCAAAGTCGGATCTGCCACCCTCTGAAGATTAACATCAAGGCCTGAAGCCAGTCATGAGGTATATGCAAGCATATGACATCGTTAGAGGATCGAGTCTCTGCAGTAAATGGTCTTCAACACCTCCTCTTCTCTGGGAGGGACAGTGCTCCACAGAGAGACAGCTCATGGTATCATGGGCACGTGTCAAAGCGCATTCCAAGAAAACACAAAGGTTGCAAATAAACATAGAAAGGAAATTCGCTATAACTGTGTTTTCATACGCCACATACATCAGGTATTTTCTCTGAAAAAATTGTTCTTAGAAGAGTTGGTAGGGAAAAAAATGCACCAACTTCATCTAGAAGTATGCCACAGAGCATCTAATTAGCACAGTCACAATAAGGTAAGTGGATGAACAGTTAAAAACATAAAATACTCAACACAATAAATATAGGATAGGAAAAAGATATTAAGTGAGGTTTTCTACAAGAGACCATCACGCATTTCTCCCACTTAATTTAAGCGAGGTTAACTGCAAAGCTATCAATACTGCAACAGGAAAAAAAACCTGACAACTTATCTCAGTACAGAAGAGGGCAGACTGGGCAAACAGTGCATTCAAAAAGACACAGGGAAAAAAGCTCATAGAAAGAAAGAGTAGAATTACTGACCTCAGACTGAAGGACAGTATGACTAGCAAAAATAATAGACATGACAAAATACAACTGGTGGGTGGCGGGGGTGCAGTAATACTTCTCTGGCACAGAAGAGCTCGTGAGGCAACGCAGCCGGGCAATGCCCTACAGTCATCTGTAAATGAAACCCCCTCTCCTCTCCCGCCACATTGACCTGACCACGAGCCACAAGCAAAGGCAGTGAAATGAATGAGAGTCTAGAGATGGGCAGCACGGGTTGAGCGACAAATTAAGTAACATACACAGCCAACGGCAACAAAAAAAGGGAAATCAAACACAACAGCACCCAGGAATACAAGGGACAAGTGGGATGAGAGAGGACACCTATTTGGAAAGGAAATGCTGTGAGGAGCATGTGGGAAGAAAGGGAAATCCTGCAGGCAGAGGGTGCCAAATGACTGCTCTGCGAGTTTCCCATTCCCTTTCCCCCCACTCCAAATCAATTGCAACTCCTTCCTCCCAAAAGAATGACCCACCATGATAAAAAAAAAAAAGCTCATGCAGTTAAAGCACCAAGGTAGCATGACAACAGTGCCAACGCTATTTGGAAACCTAGCCTTGCACGTGAGGCTCCCTCCTACGTGGAGAATGACCCTGAAGGAGCAATTCCCAAATCCCACATGCATGCACACCAATGACCATGGAAATCAAAAGTGACCCAGCCAGACACAGCTAATAGTTTCCAGACTTTAAACTCTCACTGTGCCTGTTCTAGATTAATTTTCAGGTATGGATAAACTCCAGTTAATGCAACATCTGCCGAGCCTGATGCAAGTAGTCCAGCTGGAGTCTGTACTGTTGGCAGAGGATTTCTCTGTATCTGTACAAAAAGTGCTTGTGTTTCATTTGCTGAAATGAAACGTGCCTTTTGATCTCCTATTCCTGAAGACAGCAGAGGCTGAAATCATTATCATTACATTGCTACTGAGCAGAGATACAGAAAAAAGAGGAGGGGATGGAGCTACTTCATGTAACATATGTAACATATGCTCCTTTACTATCATCACTCTAATGGGGGAGTTCCCGAGAAATATATATGCCTCATGTTAAACAGGAAATAAATCAGGTGATGCAGCCCAAGATCATTTACGTGGGGCTTTTCACAACAATATATAGAAGTCCACCCAGGCTGGGGCAGAGTGCAAAGCCTGCTCCAGGCTGTACTGGCTCCAAACCTGCAAGAAAATGCAGTGTTTTGACATTCCAGCTTGATCTTTGACTCCGTATTGACGGGACATTTGAGGAACAAAGAGGGGCTTGTTCCAGCATCAATTTGCTGAAGCGCCAGAAAAAGCACAACTGGAGTATGAGGGTCCATGGACATTCACTTACTCCTCCTCACCACAACAAATCAGTATTTGGGCATAAAAGAAGAAAATCTAAGCCTTCAGCAATGCTACTAAAACATGTGCTTTGCAAAACAGCTGCCTGTGCCACCGTGGAAGCCCTGCTGGGGAGTGAAGCCAGGGGCCGACACGCAGCTTTCTGGTACGGAACACATGACTGCACAGCAGACTGCGGGTTGAGGTCAGGACAGCCTCTTTGCCCTAACCTATCCACCTGACATCTCTGCCTGTGTGGGCAAAGAAACCACATCAGGGCTTAAGTGTTAGCCAGTTCCAAAAGTTCTTCCAAACAGAGGGCAAAAGTTATCTCTCACCAATGTAGAGCACCTCCTCCAGTTTCCCTCTGAAGAATGCCTCAGCTTTCTTGGAGGGTACACGACACTCCTTACAAACCTCCCGAAAAGGAAGGATGGGGCTATAGTTCAGAGAAAGACAGAGATGCCAACTCAGTCTGAGAAAGCCCATTAGCACTAATGACAGCATTAGCTGGTTGGATTCATAATGCTGCTCATCTGCAAAGATACAGGAAAAAAACCTACCGCCAGCCTGGGAGTCCTCACAGGACAGCTGAGGAGACAAGTGGAAGGAGGAAAAAAGCCTGGTTTTCATATAGTGCCTACAGACTTAGAAATCCAGGGCTCAGAGCAAAACTGACGAGCCTGAAACATGCAAGTTTTACTCCTCTAACTGTCATGGACTCAATCCCTGTGCTGAGCTTTGCAGAAGCCTGAGCAAATCGCTTGCCTCTCTTTCTCCTGATTAAGGAATTAAAGTTTTCCAAAATTCCTTCCATGGCTATAGCGTAAATGCATTGAATCTTATTTTATGGAGCACTATGGTCTTTTTCAACTGCCACGCATTGGCAGGTAACACCAGCCCTAATCTGTTTTGTTGCTGAAAGTTCAGGCACGCCATGGCATTTGGGATTACACAGGATCAACACAGCGGGATGCCTAAGACGATGACCCCAGCATCCCTGCTGGCACAACTCCCCTGCAGATGGCAATTACGCTCTTCCCATCTTAACGCTGACTACCAGCGAGGTAACTACTGCTGCTGGCTGATCCAGGAAGAAAAACACATAGTCACACAAGCAGATATGCATTGGTGTGCATGCTCCCATCTTGCACGCTGTGGCTGCACAGATATGAAACCATCCTCCTCCTTGCTAGATCAAACAGTATCCACGTGAATACAACTGCACTGGCATTTTTAATCAGTGGCCAGCATAACCCACAGAAAGCTAGTGCACCATTTCAAGCAGGGGCCAGTAACTCCCATCCTCCTTTTCCTCCAGTTTGCTTTAGACATGCCACTAATCTCACAGAGAATTTCTCAAACATTTAGGTTAGTTTACTAACGCCAGTGCAGCAAGGCTTCATACTCCCAGTGCAAAGCCAGGTTCCATTAGTACAGCAAGCCCAGCTTTACACCTCAAGAGAACAGGAAATTTACAACAAATACATTTTTTAACACTCAAAAAATAACACGATAATTCTCTTGCATTTAACATAACGATCCCAGGACTACTGTTGAACTGGGCTGTTAAGATCACCACTGTGCATCTATTGGTTAACAAAAATTACTTGTCTTGGAGAACTTTTTTAAAATGCAGATATGTTTCATGTTGGTTAGCACAAGGGCTAGTATTGCTGCCTTGATTAAGCCTGCACTGTTAACAAGGTATGTTGAAAAGCCAATCTTTCCATCTCTTAACAGCACACCACTGCTAAGTCTCCTGGCAAACGCTACTTTGCTAGACGTCAGACAAATAGATCTCGTTTTTCTAGTTGTTTTTTTTAATTATGACCCTGCTTTGTATACAAAGAAACTGCATGATATAAAGCTGAGCTTTACACCTTACCAAAAAGCTGAAATTTCGACATGGCTGCATACCAACATGACAGCTGTGAAAATGGAGAACTGTCTGCAAGCAGGTAGTAACAGCTCAGCTGGATTGTCTGCAGTGATGAACTAGTACACTGCATTTCCAAGTATGTGCACCTATCCCTCAAGCTTAGAGGGTACGCAGCTATGCTGGACATAGCAGTGGACACTTGAACCTCAGTATCAGTTCTGCTTGCCAAAGGGAGACAAGAGTTGCACACCAATAATGTAGACTACAGTTACATATAATTTGCTTTGCCCTTTGAATTGTCTTGAGAGCTACATTTTGTAGCATCATCACCACTCAAAAAAGTAGTTTCTGAACTTGTACTGCTTACTCACATGAGCAGACATTTTGCAGAAAAGCCTCCTGCCTATTGGGATGCCCTGGGTTATGTGGGCGAGTTGCTCCCATGCTGCTTTAGCAGTTAGTAAAAAACTTACTGCTCTGGGATGTGCAGGGGGTATAGGTAAAGAAGGGACCCCTTCTACAAAAATCTCTTGCTAAGCGTAGCATCAGCATGCAAAGCACAACAGATTAACATAACCTCATACAGGACCTAATCCTAAAAATCAAAGCTCTGATGAAATTCCCACTGCCTGCAGCGAGAACCACATGTGAGTAAGAAACTACCAACCAGCTGCACCACAGAAACCCAAAGCTGATTGTTACCCAATACTGAACTTAATTTCACAATTTCTTTCCAAGCTGCAAGGATTTTTTTTTTTGTTGGTTTTTGAACCATGAGTAAGAGGTCCTATCCCAACTCAGTGCAGTGCTTGCAAAGAGACAGTTAAAAATGTTGACAGCAATAAGGTGGGGCTGGTTTAGGTAGGTTGTTTTTCTTTTTTTTTGGGGGGGGGTGGGGGGTTCCTTCTTCTCTTTTAGTATACTTCACATTTATGACTCAGCCTAATGCCACTTCTCCCCACATGAACTCTTGAAAAGTGCTGGGTGAAAAATTTCTTAACCCCATTAATTCGTCAAGACTTGTATCTTGGCAGAGAGAACTCCTTAAAAGGCATGAAAGGGACATTAAGGGAAACAGTATTTTTCAGAAGGGCTTAAAATAATTTGCCATGTTTGTATTTTGTCATTTTTTCAATCACTTTTACTACTTTATCTGCTTTCTTCTCTCACTCGTTGTTGAGCAACAGATGCACATAAAAGGGAAACAGTGAACATGACTATTTGCAAAATACTGCCAAGTGTATGAAATAAACATACTATATTTGAGAATAGCAATTTTGCTTTCTCCTAAATTCAGACCACATAAATTGTACAGACTGTTATTTTTCACCTACTGCTACTACATTTTCAGAGAGAAGCCCCATCTTTCAAACCCAGGTGCATCTGCCTGTCCTGGAGTATGAAAATGCTTTCCATACAGCACTGGCTGGGCCAAGCGCATCAGTGATCACCATCAGCGCAGGTAACTGTGTGGCACGTTAACCTGCAAACACTGTCCTGCACATTTCAAGAATACCTTTTTAATTAGGGCTTCTCCTTATCAGCTAATCTTACATTGAGTAAATGCCCTGCACCTCAAAAGGGAGTCACAGCCCTTGTCAAATGGGACTGATGTACACAGGATGCATATGGAAGCACACCCATTTTGCAGACTGCCTTTGGTTGCCCAAGCCCCAAGACAGCCGGCTGGTGTGCTGACTCAGGGCTGACTCAGAGGAAGTGTGCCATATAATAAATCACCTCTGCCATATCCTGCAGCACCTGGGATTTTCTTTGGGAGTCTCCCAACTGATACTACCCAGCTTTTAAGCTTTCACTGGAAACAGAATACAATACGGAGTGGCTACAGGCCAACTGAGCTTTTAAAAGGTTTCTGACAGAAATCTAGAGAGAGAGAGAGGCAAAAACCAAATTCATATAGTGCTGGCCAAAACCCAAAAGCATCTCCCAGGTGCTCAAAGATGACACAAGCAAACTTGGTAAGAAGCAACTGCAACTACTTAGATGAGGCAGTGAGCATGCTGACTGAACTCCCTAACTAGACTTTCGAGTACTAATGCTTTTGGGGAAAATATCCTCTCCATCCACGCAGGCCACGTGTACTGAGCTAGCTGTTTCTTCTCTTCTAGGCATCACAAACTCATGCTCCAGGTCAGTATTAACTTCAGACTGGCTGAGAGCTCAGAAATTAGGTGCAAACCAATCCACAAGGATTGCTAAAAAACAGGTGAGAGAATTATTGTTTATAGTGGAAGTCTGAGCGAGAATGACCAAACTAAACAGCCGAACACAGAGTTTAAGTGCCCTGGGTTAGGATTGGGGTTGGCGACCACAGCTAGGACCCAAATGACCACCTACCAAGCATCATCAGGTGATGCTAGAATGACCCCTTCCTCCCCATTCACCCCAAGGGCCGAGGCAGCTCATGGGCCTCAGCAGAGGGCAGGTGTCTGGGCAGGGGGAGCGAGGGTAGGGAGAGAGGCAGGCAGTTGCATGTTCTCACCTGAGGCAGCTGTAGCGTTTGTAGGGGTTGAAGCAGCTGCTTGGTTCCGGGCATGAGCAGGGATGAGGATCGAAGCCAGAGATGGGTTACTTGACAGTTCTGGAGGGGAGGTGGAACAAACAGAGTTAGCTCATCATCCACAAAGAGCCCCGCATGCAGGCTCAGCTCCTCAGGTTTCCCCCCGTAATGGCAACCTCAGGCGAAACGCATGCCCTTACAGCCAAAGGTCCTGTTATGTTTTCTCCTTTGCTGACTACCGAGACAAAACCACAGCGATACGCGATATTCAGCAAGGCAGTCTCCAGAGCAAGACTGTCAAAACTAGAAGTAGTGGCTGCAAGGGAATTACTTCCTAGAGAAAGACATGGGCTTGGGAGCTAGCAAAGAACCAGCCAAGCCTGTTCCTTATCAATGGCCTGGTAACGCTATTTCCTTCTGAGCCCTGGAAGGATTCCCTTTGCAAACCCACTTGCAATCAGTCTCAAGGAGAAGGCTGATCACAGTGGTGCTGCTTTGGGCACTGGTTCAGCAAGCAAGCAAGCAGCTGCCACAGTTGCTCCAAGCGCTTCAGGGATTCAGTTCTTTGGCTCACTCAAGCATCACTTTCTCAAGGACCCAGGAACTCAAGACCAATCTCTCACAGCAGTCTCCTTGAGCAAGGCCAAGGAGAGGTGACTTCTCCTTTCAAAGCAGAGGGAAAGGCAAAAGGGAGCTGGTTTCCTGGGCAATTTAAATGGACAAGAAAATGATGCAACCCTTCTTTCTGAAGACATTAACCAAGGAAAAAATAGTCATGTCTTCTAGGCGCCAAATCTAAAGTAGCTTCAATGCGTATGAGGATGAGAAATAGGCATCTTACAGCCACAAAGGTGGGAGGATTAAGGGCAACACATTGCCAAATGACAATCTTCTGGCACCCTTTCAAGAGAATTTAGTGCCTCAGAAGGTGGGACTGAGCTGAGACAAGACAGGTCCTGTTTGTTTCAGAAACAGGAGTGACTGACTATCTCTTGAGGAAGCAACGTCTGGTGAAAAGGATGTGAACAGTCCCCTCACAGAAGGAGACTGATGACCTGTGGAGCTCCAGCAGGTCATCTGGAGGAGAAATTACAATAGACAGCTTTTTACATAAGACCTCCAGATAGCAAGGGCTGTACAGAAACCAGTCCAAATCATGCCATGGGTTCTGTAAGGTGGTTTTGCACAGTCTTAAATCATTTGGGCTCTTTTTTGAGAGCCTATTCCTTTTCTTTAACACAAGCTTTAAACTTAGGGCCTAAAGGGAGCAGAAGTCTACTTGACAATTTTTTCCCCACTCCATTAAGTTACATTAAGTTTCTTTACTGCTGGGAGAGCAAGATGCAGAAGATTCACCTGCTTACAAGCCTCTTATCACTACACATTTTGAGACTGCCTTTCAGCACTTACGAACACAAGCTCTAGCCTAGAATCAAACAGAAGTTGCTACATTACCTGCAACCCATCCAATCTATCCTGTAATACTCCACTCAGGTCTAAGCAGACCTAGCTAGTCCTTCTAGAAAGCCTCAATACTCACAGCATTTGTAGAAATACTGATCCTCAGATTCACATGGAAGTAATTCAGAATTCATATATTCGTAATATAATCCAGAATTCATAGGTCTCAATTTTAAATGGAAAAATAAACTGAAGAAACATGAATCCTCAAGTGCCAAAGCTAAACACCAGTGATAAATCTGTAATTTAATATTATCTTGGGTATTAGCTGTTCCTTGCTAGAAAATGTTGCTCCTTTAGTATTTTTTCCAAAGCTATTTTTCGAATCTGTTATTACTGGGAATCTACTGTTTACCTCACTCTTTTGAAAGTTTCTATCGTCCCCGCATTATTTTCTGCACATCACTGGCAGCAATACGGGGCTGTGACCCAAACAAAAGCAGAGCTAAAATGCCAAGGAAACCAAATGACATTTGCTACCTTCTGGTGCTAAGCGATGCCTTGAGGATGCAGCTATAGTCTGCCTGCTTCACTGTAGCCAAAGAACCAGCTGATCTGACAGAACATCACCTTTGCAATGGCACTTGAACCCCATTCTCATTCCTCCTATACGTTCATCTAATGCCGTCAGAACATCTCCTTTTGCAGCACCTATTATGGCAAGTATACCAGTTTCTGTTGTTTTTACGGCAAGTGCAACCATTTCTCTGAAGCCACCTTAAAGAGCTTGCATAGAGACTAGAAGACTGACCTTGCTCCTGTCTTCTCAAACCCCACACTATCTTTCTTGGTATAAAGTTTCTTAAATTCAGCACGCTCTGAATGTCTTGATGCTTCACTTAGAGAAGCGGATCAATTCAGACAACAAACAGCCAAAGTAAATTGAACTCTTTTGGCTGAAGTTTAATAGTAGCTTTGCTTGAGAACTTGTTTGAATTTTTGTTCTACCATATTTTTGCATCTATCCCATCTGTAAGGATAAGACACGTCAATACTGAGGGGAAAAAAGCTTGGCCTGTGGTACCTGCAGTCTACAAAGCATTCAGAACCTCTGTTCTCAGTGATTTCCAACACAATATTTGGACAAGCTGTTGAACTGTAGCCTGCTTATCTAAATCAAACTCGCAATGGAAGGTTGGGTTAATTACAACCAATACTGCTACAAGAAGCTATTGTGACCAAGGCAATCCAGAAAAAGTTTTCAATACTATGATGTGAACAGAGCAGCTATCTCAATTAATTTGTGAAACCCAACTCCCATTCACATCAGCTGGGAGAACACCTTTGGCTTTCTCCTGATCATCAAATCATGCCATTTACAGCTAGTTTACATCTCCAATAAGGAGGAATGAAAATGTCCAGTTTTACTACAACACCAGATCATCTTCATTCCTGAAACACAAGAAAATGCTTGGTGTTGGGAAACTGTACAGTGCTCTTTCAGTATCATTATGTTTGATGTATCAACACTTCCAGAATCCCCTAGAAAAATCAGTCTTGTATCATATTTGCTTTGTCACAAGAATAAACTTTCCATGTAACTCAAGTAATTCCAGCAGTTTCTCCTCAACCTAGAGGAGTGCTGGAAGCAGCACAAATTTCATTGTTTTCCTTTCTTCCCCGCCCCTCCCCCGCCCCCCCATGACTTGAGCAGAAATACTCTGTCTAAAAAAAACCCCTAGATGTCACTCAAATGGTCACACTAAGGATTTCTGGTCACATTGAAACAGTTTGTTTAGAAATGAAGGGGTGTGTACATATTTTTTTTTTTAAAAGTCATAAGCCAGGCTCATTTAGGAAAAAAAACAAACTCCAAAACCCCACAAACCCCCCACACTTTAGCAAAAAAGTTGTCATTGAGAAGCATTATAACTATACTTAAGTGCTGAATCACGGAAGAATTTTACAGTCTTTAATGGCCAACATGGAGTGATGGTAACATTTGTGACTCAGCACAATCACCGACATATTACAAGAAGTTTAGGAAATGGTAGTCATTTCACGGATTGTTTGAAAATTCAGCTTCTAAGAGAAAAATTGCTTTCTGTGCCTTCTGTCTTGCAGGTCTAACAGCCACTGAACTGCAGCTTTGTGGCTAGTGGAGGTACCTCCTTGGCCAAAACAATTTTTTCAAACCCCAACTAGCATATAACATTTGTTTAAATACTAAGGGAAACTTACAGGCAAGACATTAAGAATGACCAGATGAAGCTCCCTCCAACAGATCTCATCTCTACAATAAAGTACCTACATGCCCCACAACTACTGCTGGCAGCCAAAGACCACGATCTTTATCTTCCATATACTCTCACCACTTTTTTTTTTTCCTAAACTGTATCTGAGCAGCATCAGTGCCCAAGATCAGCAAATTTGGTATGATGCTTAGGTACTTTCTGAAAATCAATTCAATGCATTAATGGTCAGATTTATGCTGTTATTTCTAACAGTTTTGCTTTCCAGCCTTCTGCAGCTACCTCCTACTTCATGGGTTTCAGGCAACTGGATATAGCCAAACAAAACACCTCTAAAACTTAATATTGTCTGTTGAAAACAAATATTGTTCAAAACAAAAGGATGTCTTTCATTACTTTTTAAATTACCAGATGACTTAACATGAGTCATCATCTGATTTTCAATGACCTGATCTATTTCTCAGTTGGGAGTTCTGCGCTGGACGAGCCAATTTGACAGGATCTTGCACAGTTTGGCTAAAGAGTGAGGACTGCACAGTGGTCACAGGAGGAGCAAAAGCTTCTTGTGTATCTTGAGGTCGTAATCAGGCCTGCTGCTAGATGAGACTCACTGCTGCATCTTTATTAATTACAAAGGTCTTAACATCACTGCGCTAAGCAAAGTATTTATTTTTAAAAACTCTGGTTGTTTTTTTTTTGTTTGGTTGGTTTTTTCAGTTTGGCTGGTCACTTGCAACAGAGCTTATGTGGAAATGCATTACTGACCAGCCTCTGTCCTGCCTTCCCTTTTTAGATGGTAACACAGGCACCTGCCCATGACAGAAATCTGCTTTTTTGAATCTTAAGGAAATTGCTCCACTGGAACGGATGTCTCTTGCCATTCCCATGAGTCACTGTGCAAGGGGAGAGCACATCAGCTCCCATGGATGGCAAAAGAGGAGCTTTAAATTTGCTTGAGTGTTAAGGTAGCTTACTCAGCAGTTCCCACACTGCGTGGGGGGAAATGAGGTACATGTTCCCAATGCATACATTTATTTTTCCCCTAAGGATTTTTAAAAAGACTCATTATAGAGCTTTTCAACCCTTTTTAAAATCTTTGTTTTCATGTAGTAGACAGGCCCAAACTTAACATCATTAAGAAACAATTAATAAGAAATACTTTCAAAACGAACAGAGGTGAAGCTGTATTAAGATACTGGGATCAAAAATACCTTAGCTACTGAAGATGGCCTTAGAGTGGAAAGAAAATGCAATTCATGAGTCCTGTAACAAGAAAGTACCTGCAACATAACTACTAAATTCAAAACAACACATGCACGAATCAGCACAGAGGACAGTGCCTAGAAGCACAAGCTATTTTCTTCAACACTTTAAGGCGTTCATGGTTTAGAAATGTTTTAGTATACTCCATATATTTACCTTCTGCAAGGCAGTCACTCAAAGCAAGTTAAAAGTTTATTTCCAGACAGCTTAAAAATACTACTTTGTACAGACATAAGCTTTCTGTCCCCCTCCCTTTGCCCCCCCCCCCTTTTTTTTTTAATAAAAGGGCTCCACATGTTGAAGGAGAGGGCTGTGTTTCACATTTTGGCAGATGGGCATTGCATGCACTGAAGAGTTTGAAAAACTATATTGATGCCAACTGAACCAAAAGGTGGTTTAGACTTTCAACAGAAAATGCACACAGATCTATTCTTGCTCAAAGGGTGAGAATTGGCAGCTAATCACTTTAAAAAAAAAAAAAGTGCTGCAAAATTAATTACTAGCATATTTGTATGCCACACTTCTCACATTCCTGTCTTGGCAGGCAAAACTGTTCTATGGGGGATATCAGTTTTACATTTCTGACTTCTGTGGAAAAAAAAAAAAAATACATGAATGGTTTTAAAATTTGATACCAGTCTGGCTTCAAATAAAAAAGCTAGTTGTCCGTCATTTTTACCGTTTCTAAATGACTGAGTCAATCTAATGCCAGATGAACTGTACATCACAAACTCTGGACACTAAAGCCTCTGTATTTATCTTGCATCCAGAAGCGAAATGGGCAGCAACACTACAAACTTCCCTGCCAAACCTAATATGCATTACTCCTTGCTATGGTGTTTCAGGTATGAAGGAAGAGGATCATCTCCAAAACAATAACCTGATCTCCACGGTCCATTGACACAAATCCACCAGCTAGGCTGCAGACACTGAACTGCAAATGTAAGCGTTCTTGATACAATCCAATAGTAACAACCCCTGGTCCCCTGCACTAAATTTGAATCGAAGGCACCAGGCATCTGAAAAATCCCATAACCCATTTCTCTAAGTCCCTTTCCTCTCTGAGATAGACAGCTGGTTATGCAACCACTTAATAACTTTAGTCCTGCTCAGAGATTTCTTTTTTTTTTCTTTTTTTTTTTTTTTTAGAAGGAGTGACACCTGCATTACAGTGAACATTTATCCCAGTGCTGCTTCCTAAAGAAGGGATCCTTCAACGCTCACAGGCTACCTTGAGTGGTGAAATTGAAGAGTGCAGGTTTGTCTCGCCCATTTGGTAACTTGACATTTGGGTCCCGTAGTTCATCGAAGAAAGAGTGCGCACAGGCCTCCAGGGGAGTCAGGCGGGCAGTGGGGGTGTACTCCAACAGACGGCTACATAGCGCAATTGCTTCTGGTGGAGTGCGGGGCCGGAAGACCTAAAAAAACAAACAAACAAAAAAAAAAGGCAAGGAAAAACAGGTTGTCTGGGTATGTTTCTTTTCTTTGCTGACCAGAAGCAAGTCAGAGCAATTAAACCTCTCACTGCCCAACAAGCTGGAACAAACTTGTGGTTTGTGCTAATCAAAGTCCTCCAGTGAGGATGGGAAAATCCAGTTCCTGGGGTTGAGAAAGGGTTAATTGCAACATCTTGCACTGGAGTGAAGGTGCAATGCCAGCAATAGACTTCATGAGAGCACACTCAGAAAAACAAGTTTAAGAATGAAGGGTAAACTCATTCAAAAAATCATGACACACACAGGTGCTACCAGCCATGCATATGGGGTGAAGATGGGGAGGATGGTTCAAATGAGCAGGATTCACTGAATGTAAAAATTGAATAAGGCCCCGCTACAGTTTTGGGGTTGAGTTTTGTTTTTTGGGGTTTTTTGGGTTTTTGTTTTTTTTTTTGGCTAGTGAATGAAGTCTTACTAACATGGACAGGCAGGCAGGTCAGATTGTTGCTATGGAGGCTGCTGTTCAACTTTGGAGAACAACAAGGAAAGCACGGGTGGGGTGCAGGAAATGTCTAGCTCTAATTTGCAAGTTACTCCTTCCGTGACCTTATTCTGGCAAGTCATTCCCGTAAATTTATTGGGATAATTCCTGCACATTTGGTATTTGTAAGGACAGCTGAAAGTTGCATCAAGAGAACCAACAATTTTATTCTAACAGATTTTTACTGTGAGTGATTACAAAAAGGGCTCTTCATTGCAGCTTTGTTTTAAACCTCTAACAACGGTTCTACCCACCACTAATCATACTCCCATCCTCCTTTCTCATTATGCCAAAAGCAAAATATGAGTTAATCATGTACATGACCTGGATGGCCTCCTCAAGCACTTGTGTCTCACTATGTTCCAGGTGATATGCAGGCTGGGGAAAAGGGAGTGGGGTGGGTGCAAGTGTTAAGTTCTGATGCCAGCATTTTTGGTAAAAATTGAGCTAATCCAAAATGCTTTTGCACCAATGCAAGTGAACCCAAGCCACACAGCACCGAAAAGGAAAAAAATAAAACACCAGTGCATGACATGCTAGTTAATCGCAGATGAGGAACTTGCACAGGCACTCCTTAAGTAGGTTTAAAACCAAAGACATATGCTTTTGTGCATGAGAGTCAAACACAAATTCTAAGTTCTCCAGGGACTGAAATTTTATCCCCTTGGTGCCCAGCTGGCTCAGGAGCACCCAGGTTTGCTGCAGCGCGTGCTGTACTAACTTGTGCGGCATGGAATCCTGACTCAGGGAATCAAAGAGCCAGGTACTGAAAGAGCAGAATTTATTTCTACTACCAGCTTATTGCAAAACAAACCAAAAAAACTTTTTGCATGAAGCCTATAATGACAAAAGAAAAGGTTTCAGCTTAACACTGCTGGTGGAGAACTTCTGCTGACCACTGTGCTGTCAATGTACAGCCATGGGGAGGGGCAGCAGAAGCTGCTTTGTGGCTGCTGCCTGCAGAGCTCGGATTGCTGACCACAGTGCTAAGTGGATCCAACTATCACTCCCAAGTCACAGCCTGACCAGCACAAAATCTAAGACTGTCTCCAACTGCGGGGGGAGGAAAGCACTAAAAAAAAAGCTTTTCTTTTTTTTTAACCCCATAATCAGTAGCACAAATTAGTATGTCTTGAGGTAAATCCACAGAAGTGAAGTCACTTGGTATTTAACATGAGGTAAAACTACTGAGGTCTCCCCCATGCACCTTTTCACTGATGTTTTAACAAGCTTGATTTGCCACAGCTTGAAACCAAAGTACTTCACTGTTAGCTGGTTTTTTCCCCCAAGAAAGCTCACATATCAGCTACTCTACAGATTTAAAATAAAAAATAAATTTTTTTTTTCCTTAAGGCAAAGACAACAAGGCCTTATCTTGAGCAAATTAAGTAGGCAGACGGTCACAAATCTGCCATCTGTAAAAGGCAGACTTATTGTCCACTCTCAAACTCGTTTTCAAGTCAGCGAAACTTTAACATCTGTTTCCTAAACCCTGTTGAGAATTCCTCAGCCTACCTTTAGATCAGAAATTAGTTACTCGGGGTAGGCAGTTGCCAAAGTCTGCCCTAACAGCGTCAAACCAGGGAGGGAAAAAATAAAAAATAAATTAGAAGGCCTCACATGGCCTCCCCCCGCAACGAGTGGTGACTAACACATGAAGTGAGTTACAGGTCTGTGCCCATCTCATCTCAATCGCCTTGTGTTACAACATTTGCCTGGCTGCTGCCTCAAGGATATTGTTTGAGCTCAAATATTCCACTTCTAGCATTTCTCTCTCTTTTTTCTTTTTTTTTTTCCCCCAAGGCTAGGCCTAGTAATTTGAAAAAATTTTTAAGTACATACCCGTACTCCTGAGGTGAAATGTCCTGTTCCTGACGAGTCCTAAAGATGATAATGCAGTGAAATAATCCAAACAGGGGGAGTCAATCCAAAAGAGAATAGTCCAGCAAGGAAAAATATAGCCAATATTATAAGAAATCCATGGTGTGGGGGACATAGAAAATGTTTATACAATTAGAAACTTTAAACATCAGTCTCCATAGCAGCAAGTCCAACTTCACCACAGTGTATGCCAAAAAAAAAAATCGATTGTGCAATGGTGAGGCATAGTATAGAAACATTTTTATATTAAATTTATGTTCCAATGCCAGTGCATTTACTAAAAAAATAAAAAAAATTGAAATCAAAACTCTAACTCAAACTAAAAGGGTAATTGGAATTCCCATCATAAAGAATTTTCAGTCCTTGGTCCTGGATATATACGTCCACAGACAATGGGGTCAGATTAATTTGTCCCCAAAGGTGTATCCCACTTGTAAATCTGTCCCAGAGACACAATGTATATTTTTGGGTTCTTCTGGGGTTTTTTTTTTCAAAAAAACCCCAACCCCCTAGCAATTTATAATTTATGCTGAAGAGAGTAAAAATCCGAGATCTGTACTTCGAATTTGGATGCTTTTAATTTGTGCGAGCTACGAGTGCCTCAGGCCGCCGCGGATTATTCTCCATTTTGGATTGACTTCCCCCGCCACTGGATTTTGTTTGCTGGCGTTATCTCTTTAGGATTCTTCAGGAACTGGACGTACCACCTCTGGAGTGCGGGTATGGACTTAATTTCTCTCTATTGCGGGTTTATTCCCCCTCATACCCGTCGCACCCGTTACTTGAGAAATTTTTTTCCCCTCAATTTGTCCCCTCCCGCCTCCCTTTTGAATAATGCCCTAAGAAATAAAAGCGAAAACCCCTGCGATCTTCCAGCTCTTCCCATTCAACGCAGTTCCACCAGGAAAGCTGCCCAATTCGCCCGGACTTAATTTCTCTCTATTGCGGGTTTATTCCCCCTCATACCCGTCGCACCCGTTACTTGAGAAATTTTTTTCCCCTCAATTTGTCCCCTCCCGCCTCCCTTTTGAATAATGCCCTAAGAAATAAAAGCGAAAACCCCTGCGATCTTCCAGCTCTTCCCATTCAACGCAGTTCCACCAGGAAAGCTGCCCAATTCCCCCACCAAGAACTACACGAGTGGCTGCTGCCTGCAGCAATGGGTACACCAGCACTTCCATGACGCGGGGTGCCGACGCCAAAGTAATGCCGGGCCGGCACTCCGTGGTGGGAAGGGGTGGAAGGATGGACAGACAGCAGGACTTCTGAGCCGTGAAGCCCCTCGCATGTATGGCTCAGTGGGAGATTAAGGTCTCTGTAGTTCTCGGTGAGTGAATTGATTTAGTAAATAATCCGCGGATTATTTTTAGTCTGCGGACTAAAATTTAGTGCACGGACTAAAATCCGGCCCATCGGAGCAAAGTCTGTCTCAGTCTAAAATACATCTGGGTGAAAGCAAAAGAAAAAAAATTTAAAAAAGAAAGAAAAAAGGAGAAAGAAAAAAAAAGGAAAAAAGCTAAGTGCACAAAGTGTTTGGGCGGACTAACATTTAGTATGCAGACTAAATATGGCCGGGCAAAAGGCACAGCAAGTCCACAAATGAAAAACAAAAATAAAACACTGACAGGAACTTTTAAAGCAATCAAATACTACCCCACCGGCGCAGCAATTCATTTTTCTAAAATGAAACAAGACCTTGTGCAAGGCTATTAGTCCACAGGGGGGACCGAAGGCTCAAGTTTTCATTTTAAAAAATGAACCTGTTTTGGAGATAAACAAATGCAAAAAAAAGGCTTTACATATAATATTCTTCAAGGAAAATTTGCACTTGCATAACTCAAAACCTCTTGTTTCTGCAAAGCAAATGAATTTCAGGCTGAGACCCAGG